AGTTCTCGTCGTCGCTGTCGCCCCGATCCACTCCATCTGGCGAGCATGGATCGGGATATCTGTTCAGATTTACGAAGGGACTCAGCCTGGGGGCCGCCGCCACCTCTGGGAAAGTCCTCTTGCTTTCAATCCGCCTCCGATATTTCTTGTTCCCGCCCCTCGGCGGCCGCCGCCAGCATTCGGGGAACCCGTTCCTATTTCAAACCGCTCGATTTTTGTTCGAACCCACCCCTAGCCAACGCGGCGTGGGGAAGGGTAGACTTGGGTAATATATGAAAACGCCCTTCCTGGGTAGCGGAGCCGGGGAAGGGTCTTACCGTACCATGTCTCCTAATGGAGTTGAGTTTATAATTCGACCTTTGTCTCAGAGCCCAGATTTGCTGCGAAAGAGAGTGGAACATAAGCATGCCCCCCTCTTGAACTGGCTTCGTGCTCAAGGGTTGGGCTCAAGGGGTATAGTTAGGGCGGTAGGCTTAGGGTGTTAGGCTTACGGCTTTAGGGATATGGTGTTAGGATTAGGGTATTAGGATTAGGGTGTTCGGCTTAGGGTGTTAGGCCCAGTTAGGGTGTTTGGGTTCGGGTGTTAAGGCCAGGGTGTGAGGGTAGGGTGTGAGGGGTATGGGTTTTACGGTCAGGGAGTTACGCTTAGGGTGGTAGGGTTAAAGTTCGGGCGGTAGGGTTCGGAGTAGGGTGCTAGTGCTAGGTTGGGGTAGTAGGGTATTAGGGTTCGGGTGTTAGGGTTAGGGCGGTAGGCTTCGGGTTTACGGTGTTCGGGTTAGGGCTTAGGCCGGCAGGGTTCGGGTTAGGGTGTTAGGGTTAGGGTGTTACGTAGGATTTGGGTGTTAGGGTTAGGGTGTCACAGTGATAGTGTTAGGGTTAGGGTTCAAGGTTGACACTTCGGCCGGTAAGGTTAGGGGGTAGGGTTATGGAGTAAGGGGGGGCGGGGTGGCCAAAGGGGGGGAGGGCAAGGGCGGGCGGGTCCGATTTTCGAGTCCAGGGAAGAGGGGTTTCAGACCCCCCCCTTTGAAAGGGAGAGGGGGTCTGGAACGACGGATCGGTAAAGGAGGAGGGGGGCTCATTGGACGACGGACCCAGGAAAGGGGGGGAGGGGGGGGGGCAGTCCCGAACCCCCCCCCTTGTGGAGCATCCAGCGGCGCGCCCTCCCCGAAAGGGCAAAAGGGCCCTAAGATGGTCCCAAGAGGGCCCCAATCTGTTTCCGAGAGGGTCCCACGCCCACGAGGGCCCAAAGAGGACCCCAAGACGGCCCAAGCCTCCCAAGATGGGAGCCGCCCAAAATGGCCCCGAGAGGACCCCCAAAATGGCCCGGAGAGGCCAAGTCCATTGGTGTTCGTAAGGTTGTTGCTGTTTTTTGCTGCATGACGCAATAAAGCTTACTCTGGGTTTCTTAATGCGCGTGGGGGGGTACCCCCCCGACGGGGGTCAACCTCGCCTCGTCGTCGCGGCGCGACGGGAGTCGGAGCGCCTTCGGCGCGGTGGCTGCCCGCGACGGGGGTCAAGGTGGGGCTGTCGGCGGGGGGGACGCCCCCCCAACGCTTAGTGAGAAACTCGGAGTAACAACACCAGTACGACCGGTGGTGTGGGCCCTCGTGCCCCAAGACGGCCCGGCGACGGGCAAAGGTTTGATACCGAGGCTCCCGCCACCAAACGGCCCAGTGACGGACGCAGATTTGACGCCAAGGCTCCCAAGAGCTCCAGGTGACGGAGAACACATGTTCATGCGAGTCGGTGACGTAAAAATGTCTCGGGGCCAAGGCTTCCAAGACCTCCCGATGACGTGAAAATCTTTGAACGCCAAGTCTCTCAGTACGAACGAGGACGCAAAGAGTTTTGAGCGCCAAGGTTCTCAGTACGAACAGTGGTATGAGCCCTAACGCTCTAGTTCCTGAAGCGCTCTTTCCGTTTCTTTGCTCGACCCAGGTCTGACACGCGTGTAGCCCAGTGGGCCAGCAAGTCTTCATCCGCTCCTCCCTCCTCGCTCCCTCTCTTCATCAGCTCCTTTTTCTCCTTCTCCTGCTCCTGCTCCTTGCCGCCTCCCTCTCTCCCTCCCTCCCTCTTTCTTTCTCCTGCTCCTCCTCCTCCTCCTCCTCCTCATCCGAGGAATGTCAGGTTCATTCCCTCGCCTTGATCATTGTAACCAGGCTGGACAACCAGGGTGAGACCACTGGAGGGATCAGTCGGGACCTCCAGATGGTCGCCCCTCTCCTGGTCGATCCTCCTCCTCCTCCTCCTCCTCCTCCTCCTCCTCCTCTCCTCCTCCTCCTCCCCTCCCCCTCTTCCTCCCTCCCCCTCTTCCTCCTCCTCCTCCTCCTCCTCCTGATCCTCCCCCTGATCCTCCCCCCCCCTCTTCTTGCCTCTCCCCTTTCCTGCCCCTCCTCCATATCGGCCCCGCAGCTGAATGAGACAACCGGACGGCTCCGCCGCTCCCGCCATTCTGGTGGCCCCGCCTGCCCGCGGCTACGCGTAAGAGTGACCTTTCGCCGGAGTGAGCTTTGGTGCGGGCTCACTCGGGTCCCTCGATCGCGGAGCTCGATGCGATGGCAGCGGACCGTGCGCTCGGATGCTGCTCCCTTCGCGGCCCCCTGGAAAGCCGCGCACCAAAGGCCAGTCTCTGTCTCCTCTCCGTCTCTCCTCTGTTGCCTCGACCAAAAAACAAACAACACCATTCCACCTACAGTGGAGACCCATGCCAAGAAACACCCTGCTTGCCTCCAGGGTGCCCTGGGTTTGTTGGGTTTCGAAGGTTTTGCTGTGGAAAGCGTGACGTCCCCACACCAGAAACCCATGGACGTCCTGGGGTCTCAGGGTTGGGTTTCTTGTGGAAGGTTTGATGTGGACGGGTCCCTACTGTAGTCCTCCCCGTGTGTCCCGTTCCCCCCTCCCCTTGCCTCGCAGATCCTCTCCGTTTCCTCCCCTTCGCGCTGCTGCTGCTGCTGCTGCTGCTGCTGCTGCTGCTGCTGCGCCTCCCCGTCTCCTCTCGTCGATCGTCTCTCCTCCACAGTTCTTTGACGCTCCTGCCTCGCAGATTCTCTCTTCCCCTCCGCGCCGCTGCTGTTCCTCCCCGCCTCCTCTCAGCGATCGTCTCGCGTCCACACTTCTCTGACGCCCCTGCCTCGTAAATCCTCTCCGGCTCTTCCTCTCCGCGCCATTGTTGCTCCTCCCCGCCTCCTATGAGCAATCGCCTCGTCTCCACATTTCTTGGACGTTGAGCGGATTTTAATCCTGGGGATTGTAGCGTCTTCTTCTCCAGATTCCCTTTCCTCCTCTGCTTCCCTCGGGGCTGCGGCATCCAATGCGAGCGTCCAAGTCGTACTGATCGTGCGGCGACAGGTATTTGACGAGGCGTTTCGCGCGGCACTGTGACTGTAATGCCAAGTTGTCGGCGGAGAGCGCGCAGAGGAAAAAGGCGCCAGCCTTTTCTCCACATTGCGGCTGGATTATTGTTGTTAACGGGATTATCTCGGGCGGCGATTCGTTTGGAGTAGACTTGTCACACCCAGCATCGAAGTTGTTAAGTGCTGTGGCCACCGTCGCGGTCTGGATCTTCGCTGTTCCAGACTTGTCGACCCAGTCTGAAACATCGATTGTGCGTTGGGGCATTTTTTCAGCTGTCATTCCCTTCTCGTCTTTCGGCATGAGCGCCCTCACCACAGCAAGCCAGCAGCCCAGACATCGCACTCGCGATGCTGCGGCCACAAGTCGATAACTCCACTGGGAAGGAACCGCCCTCACGCTGTCGCGCCTGCCGCTGCACGCCGCCCTGCCGCACTCTGCCCAGGCACGACGCCCCCCTTTCATCTTTCCCTTCGCGGTCGCCCCCCCCCCCGTCCTCTTCCCTTCGCGGTCGCCCCCCCCCCCCCTTCCTCTTCCTTTCGCGGTCTCCCCCCTTTTCCTCTTCCTTCGCTCTCGCCCCCTCCTCCCTTCGCGGTCGCCCCCCCCCCCCCCCCCCTTGCGGAGGGAGGCAGCTCTCCGACCTTGCGGGGGCGCGCTTCCAGATACTGCTCTTCATTCGCACCGAGCCACGCACGCACACCTGGGGCGGGCTCGGGCCCCTCCTGGAGACGCTGCGCTCGGTGCCTCGCGGAACGGTGGCGGACACTGCCAGTGGGGGACCGAATCCCTGGCCGACCACGCGCTTGCAATACCGTTTCCCTGTGACCAAGTGGACTAAGTTGAGTTGTTCATTGGGCAAGCTCGGTGCACACATTATATTTCACAGTGGTGCGATGTCAGGCCCGCGGCACTGGGAACGGGCCGTCGATAATAAAAATCTCCACGCCGAGATGCCCCACTGGAGGATCACATTCCTGGAAGATACGCGCTCGCGGCGCATCTTTCTTGAGATCTAGTGAACTGGTTACGTTGGTTGGTGCACCAGACATTCCCCGTGACATCTTCGATGCCGTCGGGAAGCGAAACGAAGCGGATTAGTTAGGGCGCGAAACCACGTTGGTGCGCGTGGATTTTATTATCGGGTGTTGCGGGTGCTCTGCAAGGTGTGCCCATGTTGGCCACAATCGTGTTGTTACAGTTGGCAGCAGCTTTGGTATTTACCATGGGTCGCTTTTGCACGCTCGGCGCGTGAATCGAGTGCAGCCAGGCCGAGTTGGCGACGCTCCGCTCCCGTGTCTTACCTCAGAGAGCGAGGGGCCACAGCCAGATGCCGCGCTTTGCTCGTGGTGACCCGCCGTATATTGAGCCAGGATTTGCGCCACCGCCGTGAGGCCAAGAACAACAACAACAACAACAAAAACATGTCACGATTCTATCTCTGTGACGGCTTCCTGTCTCGTGACCGCGCCCGCCGTGTGATGCCGTCGGTCCCCTCAGCGGCCCTCACACCCCGCACCAATTGCTGCGAACAGTGGGGCGAGTGCGTGTTGATACCGATCTAGATTTGTTTGATCCCTACATATCGTCAGCCGAGATGCATGCGCAAGCAATGCCAGTCTGTACGCCGTGCCAGCAGCTCTAGGCTACCCCAGGAGTTCCCAGACTCCGCTGAATGAGCCATGGCGGCGGGGACAACAGGGAAGAAGGGCAAACGCTGAAGAAGACACCGTGAGCAACACAGGGCGCAACATCGTGCCGTCGTTAACACATCGACAGGGAGAGGGCGTAAGAGGCGAGCGAAGGGACCGCAAAGGGTGGTGGTGATATTGAAAACCGTACAGACGGAACCACAACAGAAGTGTGCTCGCAGTATGTCGTTTGTGTGCCGATGGAGTAGTTGTGGGAAGCGGCAATCACAGCCGCCATGACGTGCGCGCGTCGGTGACCAATGGGGGAAAACGGCGCAGGCTAAATCATTACCCGCGGATGTCACTTAAGCGTGATCGGCCATTGTCCACTGTCCTCTTGTGCACGGACAGCCCTTGTCGATTTATCCTGGCGCAGTGAGCATGCCGAGGTACCCGCTGCCAATGGAGTTAAAAAGGGCGAGGCGCCTCCGCAAGCCGAAACAAGCAGATTTGCGGGCAGTCCTGGTTGCCCCAGCTCTGCCTCCCGGCTAATCCTGCCCATTATCCTGCCTCCTCCTCGTCCTCCTGCTCCTCCTCCTCCTCCTCTTCCTCCTCTTCCTCCTCCTCTTCCCCCTCCTCCCTCCTCCCTCCTCCTCCTCCTCCACCTCCTCCTCCTCCTCCTCCTCGTCCTCCTCCTCCTCCTCGTCCTCCTGTCCTGTTCCTCCTCCTGCTCCTCCTCCTCCTGCTCCTCCTCCTCCTCCTCCTCTCCTCCTCCTCCTCCTCCCTCCTTCTTCTCCTCCTCCTCCTCCTCCTCCTCCTCCTCCTCCTCCTCCTCCTCCTCCTCCTCCTCCTCCCCCGCCAATCCTGCCCGCTACCTTACCAGGTATGCGGGGGGATCCGCGGAGGACGGCAGGCTGCAGCGATGTTTCTGGCAACAGCGCAGCAACATCCCCGGAGCTTGGGGTGATACCCATCGCCCCAGGACCACCGCGAGGACTGTCGACGGGGGACTGGGACAAGGAGGAGAGACACAGGCGCGGGAACGTACCAACTGAAGTTTTGGTCTTCAGCGTCTGCGGCATGCTTTTCTCAAGGCTCCATGCGCGCGCTGCTGTCTTCTTAACACGCGCGCGATCCCCGTGGAGATTTCAAATTTGTATGTTCTTGCAGAATCTGGCGGTTCGGTGAGTTGCCTGGTCGATTATTTGAACCGGGTTGTGTTTTGTTTCTATGTTATATTGTTTCCCTCCCCCTCTCCCCCGCGGCGTTCCCCAACCGGCTGCAGTGCCACTGCACAGAAGGCGAGGGGGACGGGGAGACCCACCTATTAGAATGAGGAGCGCGGAGGCTGATCTCCACTCGGTGTGTTCTTTGTTTGCGTTTGGTGGTGATGGTGGCGGGAGGGGGGCAGGGGCTTGGGCCACGTCAGAGGAGCTGCAGGCGAAGTACCTGGACTGGCGCCTGTCGGCGCGAGTCGAGAGCTGCCAGCGCATCGCATGCAAACCGCAGTTTTTTTCTTCTGGTGCTTGCCGGGTTGTGCTGCGCGGGGCCCGTGATGTGATGCAGTGTAGCGGTGCGTGTTGGTAGCTGCGCTTTGGTATGAGCGGGCCTGCTGTGCGCGCGGACCACCGCTCTATAGTGGAGGCCAATTTCGCAGCGCCCCTGAGCCAGCAGTTGAAAAATTCCGATCGGCCACATACACCCATGTATGTGGGAACGGTGTCGGCGATTGTGGCGCTCAGACGAGGACGATGTCTGTGGCATTTCTCTGTGCTTGGTCCACGCGCCAGCGTTCCCTGCCGCTCAGAAACTTAAGCCCCGTCGTTACGGGCGTCTTCGACGTGAATCTGCCCGCTGCTGCTGCTGCTGCTGCTGCTGGTGCTGCTGGTGCTGGTGCTAGTGTTGGTGATTGTACATCCTGTTCGCGACTCGTCGGGTTGCCACTGTCTCGAGGGGGGGGGGCAGGGTGGCTCTTAGGTGCATCAGCATTCCCATCATGATCTAATTTCGAATTTCTGCCCTGGCCACACTGCCGCACGCCAGGCCGGAGCTTGCGGCGACCTGCCGCCGCTCCTAAAGGCAGGTGTTGGACGGGTACGCTGCCTGGAGGTGTGGGCAACATCCATCCGTGCGTGTGCGGATCGTTCGGGGCGGCGGATCTCCCAGGGCAGCCGCTGTAGAGGCGGCCTGGTCCCTGAGATCCCGCTGCGCCTTCAGCGCCACATGCCTAACTGCCTCGCTGCTTGGCGCCTCGGGGTGTGCCCAGAAGACCGAGCCAGCCAGGTGGATACATCTCCACACCTCCGTCCTTCACTGGCAGCCCCCCAGCTCGGCATCCAGGTCCCCTTCTGGGAAGTCCAGGTAGCTCCAGGTCGGCCACGTCGATGTACCAACGAATCTGGAACTTTCGCCATGTTTTTAAAGAGGCTTGAGCCAGTCCGCCGACGCCAAGACGAACTGAGGAGCCCATGGGAACTGCTAGGACGAGGTAGGGGCTAGAATGTCTTGCCTGACAAGATGGGTTTTAGCCGGTTTGGGCTTGGGTGTTCTTGTAAGTCTCCACTCCTCCGATAGGGTATTAAACCTGGAGTGGGACAGCATATCTTGCCACACGCTTCTGGGTACCTCTTGCAAGCGTCCTGGGGCTTCGGGGAGACCTCGTGGGCCTCTTCGGGGCTTCCTGGTGCTTTTCGTTTGCCTTTTGGGATCGTCTTGGCGTCTCTTGCGTGGCTCTAGGGCGTTTCGGTGGCTTGGCGGTCTCTAGGGTTATCTTTCCCCTCTGTGTCCCTCTCCTTTCGCTCAATTATTTGCATCTGCGAGTCCGCGCGCTGGCACGAACCACGCCTGCGCCCAGCCCCATGTCGCTGCGACTCAGCGCTGCTGCTCCCAGTGGGCGTGCCGCTCTGAGCTTTGCTGCCGACGAGGGTGGGGCAGCCATTCACGCCCCATTCTTCCTTGGCGGCTCTCTGAGCATTTTTCCCAAAACCTCCCTGGACCCGTCCCTCGACGCACGGCTTTGGGGCGACGCGGTGGAAGATTGCCAGGCCTTGCCACCGCAAGCTGCCCCTGGGGTCCTGGCCAGGCGCTCCCCGAAGACCGCGCAAAGGGAAGCAACGCTTCACAGTTGCAGAAACGGGCCACGTCGCGGGCACGGTCTTTGATTATTTGTTTTTCCGGAGCCTCTTTGCCGGGGCAGTAATTGTCACGGGCAGCCCCCGTCATCGCCACCACCCAGTCCCAGTGCCGACGCGAGCCCGGCAGCTCTGGAGCCAGTTGCCGCTTCCCGCCGCCCTCGCACCAGGCCCGTCTTAGTCCATTGCCGCCGCTGGCCAGCGCGCCTCCTCGCGCGGACCTCGGCGCAGCAGCTGAGGACGCGCAGCTCCAGCTTCGAATCCCGCCTCTCGCAGAAGCGCCGTTGGAGCAAAGCCCGCTGCCACCGC